CCCCAAAAAAAAAAACTCTATTTTACAAGGTAACTACTATAACCCTAAATTTCATCTCGAAACTTCAATGGCGCTTCGCCAATCTCAGCGAAGTCCTGACCCTCGCCGGAGGAGACTCGCTCCCTCCGGCGGCTTTTCCCTTGTTTCCGGACCCCTTCGATTTCTTGCCCATAGAATTCATCTTATTTACCTCCTCAACCACATTCATCACAGTCTCAATAGCTTCGTTGTCCTCCAGAATCCGACGCCGAGTCCTCGATCCGTTGCCCAAGCTCTTGGACGGACTCCGATCAGCCTTCTCATTCTCTGGCGCTACCCGATCGAAATCGTCCCCGAGCTTCTTCACCAGCCGCCTCCTCCGAACCCTAAGACTCCTGATCTTCTCCTCTTCCTCTTCCTCTTCCGCGTCGTCCTCCTCATCCTCGTCGATCAAATCCATGAACCTCCTCCGCTTCGTCGCGATCGGAGCCGGAGGAGGCGAATCTTCGTCGGAATCAACCATCTTGCGCTCGGACCCGACAAGATCCGACCCGTTGGAGGAAGATCCGGCTGTTTGTTTCCCTTCCTTCTTCCTCTTCCTCTCGAGCTTCTCGCGCTCGGCACGGAGCTTACTGACGCTGCCTTCTATGCGTCCCTGGAACCGGAGGCGCTTGAAGCTAAGGCCGCCCATGGACCAGTGAGCCTCGTTGGCCCAGGAGAGGAGCGGGTCGAGGACCGGCGTGGGCGGGTCGACCCGCTCGTCGTTGAACTTCACGTCGGTGTAGAACCGAGGGCGGGGAAGGCTGGTGCCGTAGAATTTTCCGGGGCCTAGAGAAACCATCATTTTTGCTGGTAAGAGATGAAGGATTAGGGTTAGGGATTTGAGAATTTTCTTAGGCGAATTTTGACGAACAGAAAGGTGGGCTGGTTTTTTCGAATCAGATCTAGTTATTTTGTGGGAGGGAGAAGACTGGAAATGGCGAGGATTATATAGATGGTGGGTTTTGCCGCGCTTGGATTGGCGGGAAGTTTGTGGCGCCACTTGTAGTTTGGCGCCATAGCAGTTGAAAATGAGCGAGATCCTTTTTCAGGTGGGCTCTTTATTGGGCCTATGATGTTTATGGGCTCTACCATATTTCGCACGGCCCAATCTAATGAAAGGAAAAAAAAAGATTAATTTCAAAAAAATTCTCCCAAAGACCCTTATAACATTTTATCCCCTCAAATTTTAAAACGTAACATCCATTGCTCCCTAACTTTATTTCGTTAATAAGTTTTTCCTTTCTGTTACAATGAGTGACGGAATTGCCACATGTCACTTATTTAGTGAGATTTGAAAGTGTAATTACGTTTATACCCTCTTAATCAGATTAGATCTCATGGATTAATAGACATAATTCCCTATCTTCGTTCCAAAAACCAATTCTTTTTTTCCTCACCAAAAACCAATTCACTAATCATACAAACTCTTATATTTTTCAAATCTCTAAAGGTCAACTAATATGCAATTTTCAAGTGAACACTAGACCTCCTAACTAAGCTTTAATCTACCAGTTCAACGCCGTTCATGGAATGCGTAAAAAAAGCCACAAACCAATAGTCAAAACAGGGGTCAAGATTTTTTTTCCCTCCCTATTAACAGGAATAGATTCAAATCAGAAGACTAAAGAAAAATCTCTGTTTTATTTCGCCCCTGCCACAACTGCAAGTCAAATCGCCATTCGAACTCGTAGTTACGCTAACCTTAACGCAAAGCTGAAGCTTAAAAAGGCGACACAACATCCTCAAGGCCCGCTCCTACAAGTCATCTCCCTCGTTCAAATCTGTGACCCCTCACCTTAGAAGCCCTCGATCCATCGCCCCTCGCCGCAAAAGCTGCCCGTTGTTGCAAAGATCGTCGAGCCCATCATCCCTCATCATGATCCGGTGGCCTGCAATCCATGATTTTGGATTGATGAGTGAGAGCGAGAAAGAATGAAAGAGAAAGTTAAAGATAACTTGTTATTTTATTTAATTTATTATGAAATATATTTATTAATAATTATCGTTTTAAAAAATTTTACTTAAACATTTTATCCTCATGTATCAAATGAAAAGCCTTTTTTTTATTCACACATATGAGATTTTTTAATACATTTTTTAATAACATGGGGTTTTGTAGGGTATTTTACGATAATACCCCTCCTCAGATGGGTCATGTACATGATACGTGGTGAATTCTGTCACTCATTGTAACAGAAGGGGAAAATTTATTAACGGAACAAACTTTGAGAGAAACGGATATTACGTTTTAAAATTTAGGAGGTAAAATTTTACAAGAGTCATAATTCGGAGAGAATTTTTGAAATTAATAAAAAAAAAAGTACATTATATTGTGTGGGCTCTACCATATTTGGCATGACCCAAAAAACTTCTAGCCGCTGTTCAACTTTTTCTGACAGCCCTTTGCCGTCCACACTTTCCCGGCGGCACCAAACCTTCAACAAACACGAACAAAACACACACAGAGAGATATAACTCCAATATTTGGTTCCGATATGTGAACGATGAACGGCGAGTCACGGTCTCTAACAACAATCTTTTGTGCCGCGTAGATTTGACAAATAAATGAAGACGACGACGATCCTGAAATCATTGGCGCGCACAATTTCTTCTTCAACGACAACGAAGATGATTCGCATCTGGTTTATATTTCTCGCTCGCGATGTTTCATCGATGTCGAAGGAGTGGATATAACGTCGACGAACATGAACGGACACTGATAGTGATAAGAGAAAAGGGAATGAGAGACACAAATGAGATAGAGAGATGAGAAAATCAATGAGGAAAAAAGAGAATCGATGTAGTTTTAGCATTTATTGTAATAAATATGATTTGTTACTAATGTACAATTTACTATAGTTTAAAATATGCTATTTTGTGTATTTTGTCCATATTATTTATGTATTTCTAAAAGCTGAGTGTCACTATGACATTTTTTTTTATATATTAATTAAAGAATAATTTGTACAAATGATCACCAACTTTTTATAGTTTAATTCTTAATTTCTTTTTTTGATAAATCGACCCTAAACCTTTTAAATGGGTGTAATTTAATCATTTCCGTCAAAATTTTAACAGATTTTCACACGTGAACATCACGCGCCTTCTTTTTTCAATTAAAAGAAAAATGCCATCAAAACCTCACACCTATGGCCTTCTTCTTCCTCCTCTCCACCTTCGGCGAGCCCCATCCCCGACCAGCCCAAACCCGACGAACCCCATCCCTGATGATCTGACCTTCAATGGTAATCAGAATCATCAACAACGAGTTTCAACAACAGAGAAGAAAAGAAAAAAAATTCAGGAACTTCATTTCCCTTTTTTCTCTATCCCAGCATTCTAAAACCTGACCAAAGGTACCTTCAACCATTTTACTCTGGATCTTATATGCAATTACACAATTAACATGTTTAATGATATGCATTCCGCCATTCAACATCTAGGACTCAGTGATTAGAGAACAAATTAACAAGAACATCCTGAGAATCTCTGTAAAAAATTTAAAACCACTCAAATAGAGAAAAGCCAGATCCGAGCTAAGCCAGTTTCTAAGTGGTTTGCTCTCCTGAAGGTTTGCTAAAACTAATTCAGATGTCTCAGTGCGAGAAGGAGTTGGCTTTGTTGCGATAGGTGCTCTGATCCGGGATCACTCTGGAGTGGTTTTGGCATGTATGGCTAAAAAAATTCCAGGTTCGTTCTCGCCCTTTGCTGCTGAATACTTAGCACTACGAGAGGGTCTCCTATTTGCTAGATCTTGCAATTTAGAAATTAATATAGCGCAACTTAACACTTTACGAGTGGTCCAAACGGTGAATGAGGGTGTCTCGTTAGCAAAAAAAAAAAGCAGCCTTAGTGGAGGAGATTGTTGGGTTACTCTTGGGTGTCCCTAATTGGAAATGTGCTCATGTTCCTAGAGAGAGTAATCTTGTTGCTCATATCCTGACATCACATGCTTATATTTCCATGTCAGACTTAGGTCGTTTTAATGTTATTCTCCAATTTGTTCCTCCTTTTGTCCAAGCTGATTTGTTTTAATGAAATTGCATTTTTTCTTTAAAAAAAATATACTTAAATAGTTAATAAGTGTCATGCTTTATGCATAGTATTTATTTTAATTTTTACTATGTATGAAATATGTTGTTGTTGAGAGTCAATTATTGAAGATATTTCCGCTTTTTTTTTGCTGACTTTTCTTCGTGTAATTAGTGATCACCTTTCTCGTAACAAATTGATCATTGTTATGTTTTATCGTGAGAAGCCATTCCTGAGATTGTATTTCTTAACCAAGAAAAAAAAAAAAAAACTTTTCCTTAAAAAGTAAAAAATTAAAATTTTTTATGTCATTTAAATAAGACTAGTAAAGATCTCTCTCTTGTGTCGTTTGTTTTTTTCATTGCAATCCAGTGTCGTTTATACTTTATAGTGTGTGCATGATCATTTCCGTCTTTAAAGTCACGAGTGTGTACGGCTAGTCAGCCTCTCTCTCTCTAAAGTCTTTGCTCTGCTATGCCGTTTCTCTCTCTAGAGAATTGTGATCGCCATGGACAAGTACAAGGATTGCGATTCTGGGGATACCACTCTATCTTTGGCCTCCAAGAAACTGAAGCACACTCAGGTCTTTGATCTATTTGCTTGATTGTTTTTTTTCATTTTTGTGTTCGGGAAGTTTATTGTTTCTATAAGTGTTTCTTTCGGTCTTTCATGTTGCTCTTATTTTGTTTGGTAATTGCTTAGTTTTTGATCTTAGTCGCGGGTTGGATCCACGATGTTTGGTGTTCTCATGGGTTCTTGAATACTTATTTCTATATTTTTCTTTCTTTTGGTGTATAGTTAGGTTTTCTGTTTGCTTTGCAAGAATAGATAGATACATATTGCCTCCAAATTCTTCTTTTTATAATGAGTTTGTACGATAAGATTTTTATTTATATTTCCCTATTTTTTTTGTAATTAGTTAACGAATTGATATTTGTTACATTACATAAAATTGTGTATTACAAATTATATGGCTCTATTTTATATCATACTTTAATTTTCTGTATTTTCTTTGATCACTACTGTCTTCTTTTTTCAGTTCCAACTAATTTCATTTCCTTTTTCCACTTTTTTGTGGAGCCATTTGTAATGACTTAATAAGAAAGTTTTATTAGTAAAATAACTTTCTAAAGTTTTTTATTTGTAAATTAACTTACAGAATTATCAGGAAGGAACACTTTTTACAAAGAACCACGGGGTAAAGTGAAAAAGATCATTTACTAATTTTACTTTAGGGTAGTCATTCTGCCAAATTCCACCTATGTATTTATGTGGTGTCTCTTTTGAGTTGTTTGTAGTTGTAAGTTTGTCTCTTTTAATGCAGGTTGCTTCGGTCAGTCATCCCAGGAATTCTTCGAGCTTGGCAAGATCTACTGATGGTGCTGATCCCCTCAAGAGTACTAGTACATCTGATTCAATGGAGTTGATGAATATAGATGGTTCTAGTCCTGATTTGTCATACAATGATGATGGAGATCGTGATGATGGTGATAATGATGCCGATGATCTAGATTATGGTTCTGATTATGATGATCAAGATATTTACGAGGATTATGAGGATTTTTCGTATGTTGATGAATGTTCGCTATTGGAATCTCAATTTGACAATGTGAATTTGTCTCCTGGGGTGGAAGCATCAGTTCCCTGGCTGAGTGGCTCTTCTTCAGGTAAAAGCATACCGGAAACAACGACGTTAGCTACTTCAGATGTACCTGAAACTGAAAAGAAGGAAATTGCTGCAAGCAGTTTAACAGTTCATGCTGAGTCAAGTTCTAATGATAAGGTTGAAGGTGAAAACAATGATTCAACCGTGGAGGTATCTCAATTTAAGAACTTTGATGTGGTGGATGATTTCACAGACCATCATTATGCCCAATTGGGATTTTCAGACACGAAGGTGAAATTAATCACTTTTTTTTTTTTTTTTTTTTTTTTTTTTTTTTTTTTTGATTCAATCTAGCTGAATGCATGTATAAACCTGTCTATACCACTTGGTAAAAAACACAGTTACACAAGACACTCATGTAGACATAAATGGATGATATTCATTTCCTTTAGTGAACATGTTCCTCTCCCATAAGCTTGGAATTGGGAGGAGCTTCGCGGATATAGATGGAACTTTACCAGAGGAGATTAGTACTTTGGTGCTAGAGCTGGTTTATGTTTTCTTGGATATTGTTGCATATACTGATATAAGCTTGTTATTCTGTTCCTTGACAGCCACCCAAGAACTGGGCAAAAAAAGTTCAGGAGGAGTGGAAAATCCTGGAGAATGACTTACCGGGTGAGTTTGAATTCCTTGCCATAGTGCACTGTTTGTCCTGTGATATGTTACACGTTATGTAATCCATATGACTGGGGGGAATGTTTCGGGTAACTTGTATGTTTTCTACTGGATCTACTGATACGTGAATGCTATACAAGGGTGGAAAAGAAAACTGAAAATTTAAGCATGCTTTTAGATGACTAGAATTGGTTTAAATTGAGCACATTATGCCAATTTAGCTCTCTCCCTCTCTCTCGTTCTCATCAATTTTCTTTCTACAGATACGATATTTGTTAGAGTTTGTGAAGCAAGGATGGAACTTTTGAGGGCGGTTATTGTAGGACCTTCAGGCACTCCATACCATGATGGTCTTTTTGTCTTTGATTGTCTCTTTCCTACCAACTATCCCAGGTCACCTCCAGTAAGTGTTAAGTAGTAAGCTATTTACTTTAATAAAGACACACACACATGATTTATGTATGTGTAACTCAAGCTGGAATTTCTTCTGTCAGACTGTGTACTACTATTCTGGGGGTCTCCGACTAAACCCAAATCTGTATAACTGCGGTAAAGTATGTCTCAGTCTTTTGGGAACATGGACCGGTAAAAAGGATGAGAATTGGGTCCCAGGGAAGTCAACTATGCTGCAAGTTTTGGTCTCCATACAAGCACTCATTCTAAATTCAAGACCTTTTTTCAATGAGCCTGGGCATGAAACAATTACTGGAGAACTAGGGCAGGCACAATCTAAAAAATACAATGAGGAAGTCTTTATTCTATCTTTGAAGACGATGATCTATACATTAAGGAGGCCTCCAAAGGTATGGTTAGACATTTTCTTTTTTTCGTTCTTCTCTTTCAGGAAAATGGTTTTGGATGTATCAGCATTCTTGAATGTTTCTCTGACATGACGACCAAACATGTTGATCACAACGAGGTTAGGATCCTGAGTGGAATTTGTATGATTTATGTGAGAGTGACACATGCTAAAATTGTGGGATTTTAAGGACTAAATAATCGGGGATTTAAGAATGGGCATACTGGTGGTAGAATGTCCGTACACGAGCTCTCATGTGTGCTTAGATGAAAACTGTGTGAGACTTACCAGATGCCCTGCTCAAAAATTACCAATTTATGGTTCTTATATAAGAAAAATTAGTTTGTTGTTGTTCTTAAATGTTGCACAGTAGCTTTGGGAATTGATTTTTGTCGAGGTTGCTTTTGAGTTTGATTAACTCGAACATAAATTTATTAAGTTACAACAACTCACTCTCTCTTCCTTGCTATGGCATTTTGTAGCTGGCATAGATCAATCAAGGGCGCTTAAGTGTTTTTTATTTTAATTGAAAAAGAAAACCATCTCATTAACCTTTTATTTTGAACCAAAAAAAAAAAAAAAAAAGCTGTAGGCAATATCTATTTTGATTATCACTTAGATACGTCTAAAAGTTGTTTGGGTGTTGAAACTTACAATAAGGTCACTACTTTTCTTAGGATTATCACCAATCAGTCTTTTGAGTTGGCATAGCCTAACTATGAACAAAACAGGATTTCATGGTTTTGAAAAATACTCTTTCTCAGCCGCCTCTTGAATGCATGTACATATGAGTAAGCCAGTTGGTTTTTCTTGCAGCATTTCGAGGAATTAGTTGCTCAACATTTTCGATGTCGAGCACACGATATTCTATTAGCTTGTAAAGCTTACATGGAGGGTGCGTTGGTTGGATCCAATATCAAAGATAGAGTGAATAACCAAGATGATCAAAATAGTGGCTCCAGGGAATTCAAGTCTGCTGTTGCTGATATGATGAATATGCTTGTCCCCAGTTTCTCGCGTAATGGAACGCTGGGGTGCGAGGAATCTCGACTTCCAACCAAAAATTAATTCGGCAAACTCGCCCCTTCATAAGGCGTAGACGCATAGGCTTGTAAGAAGCAATTTTTTGTAATATTTTAGATATATATATATATATATATATGTATGTATGTGTGTCTGTGTGTGTGTGTACTTTGGAGACTGGCGTTAAGGTTAAAGTAAATATATAGTAGAATGACCTCAACGATAAGGCGTTTCTATTCAGTTTTTGCTGATTGCTTCAGCATTCAATTGAAAGGAAAGACTTTTTTTTTTTTTCCCTCTCTGTTACTATGCTTCTGTTCAAGCAATTTTATAGAAGTGTGCTAAATGACGTGAACGTTAAGATAGATAGAAATGCTAAACTCACTCTTAGCGTGGTTTAAATTTTTATCTTTTAATCTTGATTAATATAATTATTTAATTAAAAAAGGATTTTAATTAAGAGTGAAGAGTTTAAGGGTGCGTTCGTTTGGCACACAAAACTCGAGTTAGCCTAATTCAGATTGAATTTTGAGCCTAATATCACGTTCGGTAATTCAAACTCAGACTCAAAACTCGAGTTTGAACTCGAGTAATAAAACATCAACTACCCCCTGATATTCCTTTAACTCGAGTCTGTCTTCTACAGTGCAGATTCTCTGCGCATACCTGCTTTTCACATGCCTTGTTACCGTTGCTTGCCATTCATTGTCGTTTCCAAGGTTTGCTGCTTGGCTCACGAGAAAGGGCCCCTCTCCGGTTCTCGCCCTTCGCTTCCCTCATCTCCCATCTGCTACAGTTGCGCCTCCGTGAACCCCAAGGCCGCGTGCAGTCTGCGATGCTATTTTGATCCAGTGGGTTTGTGCAAATCGATGGCCGCGTGAGTTCCTCCTTCCTCGTGCCCCCATAAATCCCTCAATACTCACCCATTTCCTGATTGTGCGCCCAACACGAAACCCTATTTTCCATCTTCTTCAATTTTCAAATCGGACAAAATTGGTCCGCCGAGCGTGAAGTCCTACAGTCCACTGGCAGTATTGTTGAGTCGATGTAGTGTGCAACATCGTTTCCGAGTGCGTAGGAGTTGTCTCCGGTACCGGTCTTCCCGTCTTCGTTACCGTCGGCGAACTTGGCTGCCAGAACCGTCGGACTCGCGGTTGGGGGTTATCGAAGCAGAGCATCAGCACTCCTCTGTCGGCTCAAACACGGTAAAATGTCCCCCCTTGATTTTTTTACATTATCACGAAAACTGGTCTGTGTGTGTGCAATGCAATGCTTTGCATTAATGTTGATTCCACCATTATTTGCGGTGATTAGGATGTGCGGCTAATGATGCTGCCGATTCACAACAACCCAAAATAGCTTAGAAAAACTAGAGCACAATAAGCAAAACAATGGCAAAAAAGACAGATTTTTTGCCATTGTTTCCAGAACATAAGAACAGCCAAACGACCCTAAACTCAAGTTTTGTGTGCCAAACGATCGCCCCAACTAGTATGTCGTTACATATGAGATCTGTCGTTTTTGGCTGTCCAAGCAGAGCATCAGAATTTGTTCCTTTTTTTGAGTTGAGCATGCATCCCTTGAACACGTTTAGTTGATTTCGATTCAATATTCATGTGGTTTTTGGTAATGTAATTTTGTAGAAGTACTGTACCATAATTTCGATTCAAGATAAAGAATCATTTCTTGTAATGCCAAGACATTCAATTCAGTCCTAAATTTTGCTATCCCGTTTTATAGGCTATTCTTTTGTCTAAAGTATTCCTCCGTAAATTAGTTGGCTATGCAAAAATTTAAATTCTACTAAAGGTACGCAGTCGACTAAGTCGAGATAAGATCTTAGTGGTTTGGAGGTTTAAAGAGCTACTGAGCATCATTTCTGGGCTGAACTTGATATACATGGCAAAAGAAATTTATACTATTGCAGCCAATAAATAAACTAGGATGGAATAAAATCACCCTGACTCACTTTTGTTAGCATCCTTTTTGCAAGTGTGTGATAATGCCGTTGTCAAATTCGTTGTCCGACTATTGTAGCCACCAAGACACTATAAAATATTCCAATTAAAGTAAAAAGTCCCAGCACAATCAATGCCATTATAAATAGCAATGGTAGCCCTGCTTCACCAGCACCTCCTAGGCAACCACATTCACCTGCCATACTTGCACAGCTCTCAAAGCATGTGGTGCAGTCGGTCCACATACAAAGAGTGCCGGGTAAATGACAGTCCGCACAGACACTACAAGAATTACAAACAAGCCGGTTACCATGTTAGGTACTGAGTATTATAGGGCCATTTACAAGGTTCAGTTAGTACTACATAGTACATACATCAAAGATAGCAATAAAAAATAATAAATAAAAATAAAATAAAATAAAAAACTCGCTTCGTTGTGGCACACTCATGACAGCCTATAATCACCATTATATCACCGGAGGAAGTACATTTGCTAGATCCAGTAACCAAGCCAACAACCCCATTGCTTTATTTACTAATAAGTTAAATAGCCACAAAATTCGGACTTGGTTGTTCACAGTTTAGTCCCAAATCGTGTTGTCCTTGGCTTTGGTCCATTGTCTGTTTTGTTTTCTTTTACTTCCCTTGTGTTTATATATATATATATATATATATATGTTTATAGTTATATACAATTGTGCGTACGTGTTTTTGTTTGTGGCTTCTTATTTGTGCGGGATGATGCTTTTGGTGTGTGGTGGTAGATGCCAAGAGGGGGCAATGATGAGGACACGACTCTTCATTGGAATCAAAAGCAGAAGGAGGAGTTGTTGCAACTCCTAGCAGAGTATAACCGTAACTACCATGGTCGGAAACCGGTCCAGAAAAATTGGGAAGATTGGGCTACTAAGCTACAAAAACATTTTAAGGATCCAGTTACGGCGGCCAAGGTTCAACAGATGCGAGTGCGTCTAAAAGGCAAGTTTGATAAGGAGGTTATACTACGTACAACCACAGGCCTTGGTTGGGATCCTGTGACAGGCGCAGTGACTTGTACGGACGAGTATTGGGAAGATTTTGCTAAGGTAATCACCAGTTGTTTGTTTTCCTTTCCCAAATTATTTATCATCAGTTAGAACATGTGTTCAACGTGCGTTAGCTTATGTGGATGTTATTTTTCACACAGAACAAGAAGTGGGCTAATGCTGCGAAGAAGCATCCCCTTAAAAATTTTGACTTGTACTACGAGGCCTTTGGTAGTACCCGTGCATGTGGTGAATTTGCGGTGGGATTGGAAAATCCCACCACCGCGCACGTAGACACAACTCCAATCCCGGCTGAAGAAGGTGAAGGGGGGGCGACGTCGCATTCGTTAGGCAACGATGACGTTTTTGTGACCACGATGCGAGCTGGGTTGAACAGTGCTAGCTGGGTTGAACAGTGCTAGGAAGGGATTGAATGTTGCATCCACCTCTAAGGCAATTGGTAAGAAATCTGGACGCAGTCAGAAACGTCCGGTTGGCGATCCAGAAGCAATGGCACTACTTGGACGACTTGTAGCCTCTATAGAAAGTAAGAATAGTAGCAGGGCTACCAGTTCCAGCGCTTCTCAGAACCCTGCGACCCCTACCACTCTGCGGCAGTGTACAGCGATTGTGAAGGAAATGGATCTTGAAGATGACACTGTCATAATATTCTTAGAGGCCATTGGGTGGTTTCCACACATGCAGCAACTCTTTTTGGATATGACAGAGACGCAAAGGGTTGGTTTCGTGATGAGAACCGTTACCTCTAAAACGAGTCAATCTACCCAATCTTGCACCATGCCCCCTCCATCCATGGCTTCCAACTTCATGCAGCCCCCTATATATCAAAACTTCATGCCGACACCCAACTTTTACCAACAACCGCCAATCTATGGCCAACAACCTCCTACCTTTGGCCAACCACAAGTACCCAGTTTCTCTCAACCCCCTCACCACGTGCAACCACAACACCCACCAATCCAAAACATGACCCCAAATGTTACTCCCCATCCCCCTAACTTTCAATGTCCACCACCCTATTACATGCCTAGTTTTCCACCTAACTCTGGTCATTTTGGTGGAGGAAACAATGAGGAGTAGCTACTTGTTAGGCTTTTTAATTATGAGGCTCTTTGTTTACGAGACTTTTTATTTATGAGGTTTCTTATTTATGAGGCTTAGACAGTGTCGGACAATTTTCTTAATTATGAGGCGTTTAACTATGTTGTAATCATTTATTGAGTTGTGTTGTACTTCGAAACTATTACTTCGTTTGCTTTCTCTTTCAATTAGTGTTCTGATGACATGATGCAATTTGCATTAATGACTTTACTTGGTAGTGACTCTTATACTTTGCCATTACATTATTGCACAATTTCAACATTAACTATGTTGTACTTGTGACTTCTACTATAGCAGATTTGGCGAACAGGTTGTAATGTGGAACGGAGGGCCTTCGAACGCGTCGCCTGACAACACAATAGACGATGACTCAGATGATGACTATGAGACAGCAGGTGTCGCGGCTATGCTCTGGTATTACCAAACCTACGTTGAGAGACCCCCACCTCAACCTAA